AATGAGGATTTAAATTAAGATATTAACTCAATGAAAAAATCCCGATAAAGTAATGTGCCTGGGAGCCTTTGCATTTTTTCAGTATTACCCTGCCGGCAGTCAGTTTCACAGAAAGTCTTACTTCAATCTCTCAAGAGTATTTTTTGATTGTTTGGAAATACCAAGCGATTCTAAAACCAAAAGATCATTTTGATTTTCAAGTTGACCAATTTAAATCATCCATCAAATCCTGTATTCTTGACTTAATTTGTTGAATGATTATGGTTTTGGATTTTTGACTTTATGACAGTGAAAGCCAGTAATATGATATGTTGTTTTCGAAATGAATTTTCGCTATTAAAAAGAAAAAAACAAAACAAAAAACATTGATCTGTCCTTGCGTGACAAGCATTAGGGCCTCACATGATCCGCATCGTGGTGCATCTGGTGTAGAGGCCGCCACGCCGCAATGAACTTTCCAGCCTCTACACAGAACACTCCCAAGCTAAGTTAACGCACGATAATGGCAAAATACCGGTTGAACGGTCAACGTGCGAGAAAACGGCCAGTTAACCAGACTATGTTACACCAGAAGGCTGGAATGTTTCAAAACTTATATTTTATTCAGTGATTCTCAGCCTCTGAGGCAACATAATACAAGTTTTTGAATTCAATAACTTTGAAATCAGAATCTCACGAGTAGAGTTCAGATCCAAACAAATAAACCAAACGTCTTAGGACGCGACAGATTATCACAGTTTCATTGTTATCTACGTTTTGTAGGCAGTTTCGAAAATAAAGCTTTGAACGAAACCAAAAATTCCTTGCGAATAAGAGCATCAATCCCACATATCACCACAGGCAGCCCAATCTAATTGTACATCCTTTCACTGTTCGACGCCCTTTAAATCTTTGCATTTAATTTGTTGTTGTTTTTGTTTTGATTCCGTTTTGCAGGATAAACTTGTTGAAGACATCATGAATAACACGATTTTAGTGATTTTGACTACGGACAAAAAGTGTCCGAAAATAATACCGTCCGAAATTCGTAGACATCCGAAATTTCAAGCGTCTGAAATATTTACGGTACAGTGTAAAACTTTGAAGTAGCTCCAAAGCCCTTAGTTTCCCTTATGCTGGGTTTAAGGAGCAAACTTTATTTGAGACACTGATGGACATACGTAACGGCTTGATAGAGTTTGTGTTATCTTCTCATCGGTGTGTTCTTAAAACCTTGAACCCGCAGTAAAACTATTATTGTTACAGATGTTATTTCAGTGTAATTCGTGTTTTGTAGGGGTAAATTCACTTTAACTATGTTTCAGCACAGCGTCCGAAATAAAATAAAAAGTGTCCGAAAATGAGCCGTTCCAAATTTTTTGCAAGCAATTAATAAAATGCTCCCAGACACCAAGTGACTTTTGGCACTCGTGTACCCTATCTCGACCACAACCAGAGATGCTGACCACATTTATTTTATTGCAAATGTTTTAAAAGCAATTCTTTCATATAAACAAAAAAATTCGTCTTATATTCTCAGCATACAACAATATGTCTGGATTTACGAAAAAGGTGATGCGTATGAGAATTTCAGTTTTTCACCGCAACTCACCATGAGTATTTTTTCGCGCCAAAAACATAATTTTCATAAATCCAGTCGTACATACATGTATAAAAGCTTAGTTCATTGGAGTTGGCACTTTCGTCGCTATGGTAAAATTTTAACTGAAATGGTCCACCAAACGTGGAAAAAATTTCTACTCAACAACAAATAGCTT